ACACAGGCAAATGTGTCATCACATCTAATAATGAAAAGAAAAAACAGCCAGAACGTGCTGGAGAAACAGACTGCTTTAATTACCCTCTCACAATGCTCCTGTAGAATTTGGAGAGAAAGCAGTGTGCTTGCAAGTTATTTATGCCAAGAGGTAGCCGCCACTGCTGAAATTTAAAAAAAAAAAAAATCAGGATGTACATGGGCCTTGTAATGTCAGTATGTCCATGAACGTGCACAGTACAGGTTGTGGGAGAAATCTGAAAAAGGGATTTGATAAGAAAATAAAACATAGAATGAATGCCCATAGTCTACCATTCATGTACTGGAACCTCAAAATTACAGTCTTCATTTTGAATATAACCGGCAGCGGGAAAGTAGGAAAAGGCTGGCCGTCCATCAGGAAGTCTAGAGCAGAAAGAGTTGACCTGTCCAATGATTAGTGCTGAAATAGCCTTTGGTCCTCAACTTACCCTTTCTTCTTTCGAGCTGAGACCCATGACGTCTGTTGTAATGTGTTCTTGCCCTCTACCACATACATATTCTCAAAAAGATAGGAGAGCACTGCCATCTTCTCATTTATTCTGTAATAACATTAGTTGTGTCCTGGGAAGCTAAAAACAAACAGGAAAGTTACCGCGATTCATGACCTCACCTTCCTCAGTGTTAACATCTACCCCTCCTCATGAGTGGTAGCTCTAAGTGCTTTTTCCACTTCATGCCAATATCAAAGGTGTATACTTTCACTAGCCAGAAAATAACCATTTCAATCGTTTTCATTTTCCATTCAATTTCTGTTTGTTTGTTTTTTTTTTATTTAATTTCTGTTCACATTTACCCCAGCTGCCCACTCCTACCTGTTACAAGTCAAGTAATTCTGACTCTCAACAACAGGAACATCTTTCCATGGTCAGCTCCCTAATTCACATTAGGATGTGGTGTTGAGGAATGGTCACTAGATGAAGGGACAGACATGTTGGCATGTTAGAGCACAGTTACATCTGTGTCCTGAAACTCATTCTCATGCCGACTCGCATTGCTTTTCCTTTGAACCTTTATGCATTCAGCAACTATTGTTTAGCATCAACTATGAGCTATGTTCTAAAAGCACCAGTGAAACAAAAATTTATAATGAATAGAGATCATTGACCCCGAAACTTCAAAGTCTGGTTTAAAATGAAACAGAGAGAGTTTGAACTTTAAAAAAATAGGAGAAGTTGGGTATTGATTATGGATTGTGACAAATATACTAATATAATTTGTTAATAGAGAAAGTTGATTGTGGTGTAGATGAGAATTCTTTGTATAACTACAATTATAGTTTTGTAAATTTAAAACTATTCTGAAAAAGTTTAAAAAATTATAATTGCAGCCTTTTTCCTAGGATTTTTTCCAATTGACACATCTTCAATATAATGTATAATATTGTAGACACACACAAATGTTAAGATTTAAAAATACGTAGAAGTCTTAAAAATGGCACATGATACATAGATGGGTTTGAGTAGAAAATATTGCTGTCTAGATCAGTATATTTGAAACATTTCTATTATAAGGTTTTTCCTATGATTCTTTTTAAAAATATTGATTGAACACCTTCCAAGGACAAGACAGTGTTGTGGGTACTGTAGGTACAATCATGCATTTGATGGACAAGATCAGGGTCCTCATGGATCTAATGCGCTGGTGATAATAGATATGATTTTTCTAAAAAGCACTATCTATCGTATTAAAGAGGTAGAAAGTGCTAAGGAGATATTAAATCTCAGTAAGAAGAGGGACGGGGGATGTTGAGAAATATTTTGCAGCTTAAAATTTAGTGCTAGGGAGGGCCTCCCTCTGAAAATGGACTTTTGAGCAAAACCCAGATATGAATGAGTTTGTGAATTGTTCAGATACCTCAGGGAAGATCATTAATCATCTTCAAACTAAGTACAGAAAAATTTTGACTTGTTTTCCATTTAGCACATGTCACAAGTATTTCATTTTATTTTAACTTTCATAAGAAAAAATCTGTCAACACATAAATTTAATTATGACATTAAATTTGGTTTGAAGATTAAACATAAATTAAAATATAAATTAAATTTTAACTGCACATTAAACACTGTTCAAAAAGGCAAAACTGTCTTCAGCATCTGATATTTGATATTTTTGCATTTAGTGCTTTTTAAAAAAATCAACAGGCTTCAGAATCCTATTTACAAGTGCATTTCTGTAAATAACATATTGTGAGGGGGAAAGTCTTCATTCCCAGCAAGTAAAAAATCAAAGTGGAAATAATCATCAGTATGTCTTCTTTGTAACATTGGATTTTGAAGTATCAGTTTTATCTTAAATTTCAATATAAAATATTTAATCACAAGTACAATTAATGACAACTATGAAGTTCGTGTTGAGATCAATTTGTAGACTGAGCATAATTTTTATCTTTCTATTAATTTATTGAATTTCTGGATTAGGTTTCTTTGTACTTGATAGATTTTACCAAGTCTATTATGGACTTAAATTGAAAAATATGTGGTCCATAATAAAAACACATAGGTACAATTTAGAGCTACATAGCTGTCAATCACTAACACCAACTGGGTAGCAAAGTTGAGCAGAATAACAAAACACTGGTATTATTGACTCAGGGTCATGGTAACTAATATTCAATGACCGCCTCTAATAATCACCAATCCATACTTGGAAACTCTAATGAGTCTATTTATTTTCAAATTTTTTAACAATTACTTTGTTTTCCATTTTCTACTTTTATTTGAAGTGCAGAGAGATGGGTTTGTTTCCTTACTACTTGACAGATGAAAGAATTATTTCATTGCTTCAGAGGCACCATTATTGTCTGTTAACACTGTGAACTACCTTTGGAGAATTTAAGTGGGGAAATACTGCATTTCAGCAACTTGATTGCAAAACAAAGAGCTGTAATGGAAGATAGTGTTGGACCCAGTGAGTTCAGAAAGGAGGACCCATACTCCGTGAATCCCTCCAAGAGTTTGTCTGAAAGATAAGTAGGAAGAATTGAGTAGAAGGAAAGGAGAACTCTTCTACACAAAGATAGAGAGATATAAATGGCCTCAGTCAAATCAGGGAACAGTCAGTGTTTCTGTGCCGTGGGCCCAGATATGAACCAGATGAGGGAGCAGAAGTTAAGGGAAGAGGATCAAAAGCTTTGTAGGTCATGCAAATTAGGTTGTTCTTTATCTTGATGTGGGGAACAAGTGAAGAGTTTTAATCATCACTATAATGCATCCTAACCATGTGTTAAGAAAATCATTTGGGCTAAGGGAAAGGAAGAACTAGATACCTATGTCTTATTTTTATTCTGACACCTGTACAATATGTCTTATAAGATTTAAGGAGATTTAGAGAGCTTTGAAAAAGTAAATCTTCCTCCTTCGCTTCTACCCTTGAGTGTATTCCTGTGAGATGGAAGCCTTCTATTCATGCATTCTTGGCTTAAAATCACCAAAATGGGGATCAGAGTTCTCAGTCTTCAGTGTTTTGGGATATTATGTTATTTTTATCCCAGAGTAAAGGGAAGCCCTTGAGGTGGATGAGTGTGTGCAGTTGGGGAGGGAGGGGCAGATGGTTTTCAGAGGCTAGGTTGTGAGTAGTCCATCCTTAGGAAATGAACTGTCTTGTGTAATCAGAAGAAAACAAGTTGGCCCAATGTTCCTGAAGGATGTCAGGGACTGTGAAGGGTCTGAAATCCCAAACTACTTGCAGGGTAGCAAGTTAACCTGCCAAGGTCTCATGGATACTCACAGATAACACCAGGCACCTGGTGAGAGGCAAAAGAACTATTTTGCTCATGACAATAGCAAAGCTCTTCCATTGTTACCAGCTTATTCCTGTTCCCTCCCCACCCCCAGTTCCCATAGGGCAATACCATGAGGGCCAAATGATACCAGCATATGCAGTAAGTTTAATTGTAGGAGAGGAAACCTGCACTTAGGAGACCCTGGTCTTCTGTAATTGGCAGCTTATAACCAATTGCCTAAACTGTGCTGGGAAGGGAGGCATAATCTCAGAACACAAAGCATTTCACTACACTGTGATGTCTCTAAAGATGTTCAGAACTAAAGACTCTGCCTGAAGACAGGCAAAAATGCTAGAGACTCATTAAGAGTTGTCTCCCAGTAATGGATAACTGTGTATATTATTGCTCAGGTTATGTGTCTTTATTGAGCTTATTTTCTTAAAAATAAAATGACACCATTAGCCAACTCCTAGGATAGTCTGAAATAAAATATCCTAAACCCAAGAAGAAGAAAAAAAAACGTACTCTGTATGTTATGATGGAGCGCATTTGATAATCCTGTTGAAAATATCACGGTTTCTTGTCACCGTATACTGCACTAATCATCCACAACTAATAGAAACACGAGTGATTCCAACCCAGAAAGCTTAACGGTTAACCTCTGAAAGTGGAAAGGTGTAGAAAGTTAACTAATCGTTATCTCTAAGTAAGCAATTGTACTTATGTGCTCCTTTTCTGTTTTTATGAATCCTGTTCCTAAAATGTTCTTTAAGCCTGTTCTTTTGTCTTCTTGATGGTTGCTACTGTAGACACTGATTTAAAATTTTTTTCAATGCTAACATAACTTTGTAAAGTATTGCAAATGTCTTCTGAGGAATATATATATATATATTCACATACACACATATAAATTGCCTGAAGGTACCTGGAGCATAGTAAGTGTTCAATTAATATTAGTACTTTCCTATTATAATTTTTAACATTCTGTGATTTCAGGCTACTGATGTTATAGAGCCTGCCAATGCCACCATTTTGTAATTAAAATCACAAAGCCATTATGTTTCATAAAAACTATAAAATCACGATCATTTTCACTAATTGCCATATATCTTCAGAATCAATGTAATTTTGATTGCAAGTACTGATTAAAAATGATACTTAAATACCCTCTTAGCGAAAACACATTTGTAGCTAAAGCATGATTTTAAACTACTTCCTCCTTCATGTTTCCTTTTCAGAAAGCTGTGGCCATCGCGTTCAAGAGCGGAGGGAAGGAAACACAGTCTTGGAAGTGGAGAGGACTAGATAACTCAAACCAAAAACAGGAAGTCAACATGTCTACCCTCCCTCTGATTTGCGGCAGAATTAAGAGAGGGATGAAGTCTCATACACGTGGGAGTATCTGCAGTGCAGGACTTAGAACTCGGACCTGAGAAGGAGGCTAGTTAGACTGACAGAAGGGAGCACGGAGAGCAGAGGGGCCCTTTTCCAGTTCCCTGTCTGCGAGATGCATTGGTAGAAAGGGTTCTGAGTTCATTTCATGTGATTGCAGCATATGTACATGGGCATCGCCAGAAAAACTGAAGATCTGAGTTTGCTAATCATTCTTTGTTTTCCATATGGCATAGACATCAAGGTGAAATTCAGGGAGCCCATTATTGAAGCTGCCATCGTCAGAGCAAGATAGCTTGACAGCAGCGGCTTTGGGGCGATCCACATGAGGCAGAGGCAGAGAATGGATGTCACAGGGACTCAGAGGAGTCATCCAAACCCATGAAGGACAAGGGCAGGTGAAGTCATAAGAGAAGGTCGTCTGTAGTTCTGAGACCTTGGCAAAGTTTTATTATGAGTGCATCCAACAAGGACATCAACAGCGGATTTCAGCAGATTCTTTAGGATCAGAACTAGTTGAGTCAAAATGTAGTGGAGCTCAGTTTACATTCATCACACATATTCCTGCCAACTCCAGAAACTCTGTGGCCCCTTCCCACTGGCCACCATCTTGGAAACCAGTCAGGAGAACTTAAAGCAATCTGAAACACCAAGCAGTGGTCCAAAAAAATCAAGTCAAAGCTAAAGAAACGCATCAATTGTTTTGTTTCACTTTGCTTTAGATGAGAGTAGGCTTAGTTGTCTTTGTTTTTATACCCTCTACCCAACAGATAGACTCTTTGTTTTAAAGATTTATCTATTTTATTTGAAAGGCAGAGTTATAGAGAGAGGGAGGCAGACACCCATCTTCCATCTGCTGGTTCTCTCAAATGACCAGAATGGCTGGGGCTGGGCCAGGCAGAAGCCAGGAACCTGGAACTCCATCCAAGTCTCCTATGTGGATGGCAGAGGCCTAAGAACTTGAGACATCTTCCACTGCTTTCCCAGGCACATTATCAGGGAGCTGGATCAGAAGTGGAGAAACCAGAAATCGAGCTGGTGCCCATACAAGATGCCAGGGCTACCCACTATGCCACAGTGCTGGCCCAAATATATTGCTTTTTGATATACCAAATTTTATGTGTAGATTTCAGTTCCAGATTGTAAGGTTTTTTTTTTCTTCTTCCTTCTCAACCAATAACACTTTAGTAATTTGGTGTCTTTAGGTAGTTATAAAAGGCTTAGAGTACAAAGTTATGAGATTAAATAGAAAGAGCTGTGAGTGGTTGTGCAAATTGCTCATTAAAACTGATCACCTTTTTCAGTGCTGGCAAGTCTTCACGGAGTAGAGAATAACTCCACCAGCATATGCAGCTGACACTGTCCATCACCTGACCGGACTGGTAAGTAAAGCCATCAGCCCATCAGCCTCTGGCATCAACCTCATCCGAATCAGATAAGTAAAAACTTATTCTGACTTATGGTACTGCAAAGCAGAGCTCTTGGAAAAATAAGAAAGTTGGTGGTGATTTCGAACCTGGTCATTTGAAAACTTGCTTATAAAATAAAATATGCAAAAGCTCTAGGAAGGGTATAAAAATGCCATGCAAATAGGGTAGCAAGTTGGTGAAGAGCTGAGATCAAATAGTTTTCTCATAAGGTGTGCCACTTCATTTTCCTGCACTGAGAGGCTGTATATTGAGCCAGTAGAGGGCACCTGCCCTTAAACCAGGCTGCTTGGTGGCAAATTGTGTTTGGCACTCACTAACCTTAAGCAAGTCACTCACCTCACAGGGCCTGGGTTTTCTCACTTGTAAATAGTAAATGGGGACAACAATAGTTCTGATTCTTCAGACATTGCTTAGGATGTCTTAAGCACTGTGGAAAACATAGCTGTTGGTATCATTATTGTTATTGACACTATAATTACCATGACAGTACTACCATGTGGGAGCCGCAGGTGAAGGCTGGCAAGCAAGATTACCGTGGCTTGTGCCTGCCCTTGCAGTTTGTAGTGCAACAACTGATACAGACCAGAATGAACAGCCTCTGGTATGGTCCAGTACCCGGTAAGTAGGTTGCAACAGGAGTGTGAATTGCATTTTAAATGTAAATCCAGCATATGTTGGGAAAATTTAAAAGTACTAGGGGGCTTTCAAAATGTCTTCCGAGAGGCCCTGGGGTTTGAGCAGTGATTCTTCTGAAGAGAGAAGGGGAAAGGGTAGAAAAAAAGAAAGGGAAGAAGACAGTGGAATTCAGTAAATCTTTTCGGAGATCAGTGTATTTCAAAGATTGGAAATCAGCAAATAAAATGCTGGGCAGGCTGGCACCCCAGCTCACTAGGCTAATCCTCCGCCTGCGGTGCCGGCACCCCAGGTTCTTGTCCCAGTCGGGGTGCCAGATTCTGTCCCTGTTGCTCCTCTTCCAGGCCAGCTCTCTGCTGTGGCCCGGGAGTGCAGTGGAGGATGGCCCAAGTGCTTGGGCCCTGCACCCGCATGGGAGACCAGGATAAGTACCTGGCTCCTGCCATCGGATCAGCGCAGCGCACCGGCCATGGCGGCCATTTTGGGGGTGAACCAACGGAAAAGGAAGACTTTTCTCTCTGTCTCTCTCTCACACTAACTCTGCCTGTAAAAAAAAACAAAAACAAAAACAAAAAAACAAAACAAAACAAAACAAAAAAAAAACGCTGGGCAAAGAGCTTGCAAAATACATCTGTAACTGTGTCCAAAGTGCTTGGAAAAATAAGACTCCTCAGCAGATTTAAAATGTTCCTTTTACTCTTGTTATTGACAAAATTAACTAATTATTTTAATCTTTAGCAAACCTTTATTATCTCCTGAGGTTCTGTTTACTTAAATTTGATCTAACAGCCATGGTTCCTGAGATACATCTTCAGAGAGCCAGATTGTGCTGTTCTTCCACAAAAATCAACTAAGGGTGATCTCCTCCTCACTCACCAAAAATCTAAAAAATATTTTAAAATGCAATGAACTTGTATATAGAGTTCTCTCATTTACGTTATTCTTGCATACATTTTCTTTAATATTTGTTGGCTATTATCAATAGTGTAATAACAAGGGGTAATGGAGCTAAATCAATAAATAAGTGAAAGAAAGTTAATGAAAAAACCTGGAAACCGATCAGGCTTAGCTTTATTTTTGTGGACATGTGGGCTATGATTTTATAGCATGCACATGGTATATTGTTCTATTTTTGTTCCCAGTCCACTGAGCAGAAGTGCACATGCCAGTATTTCCTAGGGTCCCACGCTTCCTAACTTTCAGGAGCTAAGACATATGAAGGAGATTGAACCCACCACAGTATATGCTCAGAGCTTTAACACAATCTAACAGAACCTGTGTTTCTCTGCCCAAGATTTCTCTGCCAGCTTTGCAGCTATTTGAGACACTGCAGGGTGATAAGCAACCATTAACATCGGCTGTGCTATTTGTGATCTGTGGAGACTCATCCACCGGGAACAGGACTGAGAACATTGTATCCCAGAACATTGCATCCTTAGTCCTGAAATGAACAGCAGCTTGATTTGATTGCAAAGCACAGTGGGAGAATTTGGAAAAGCATATTGTAACTCTAATTCCATGGGGCCTGTCCACCTTTTAATTATTAGGAAGGGCTTCCCAAAGTTGTAGGAGCCATCATGCAGCACATGGCATCTTGAGCAAGAAGGCTTGCCTTTCACATCTACATGTTGACCTTGGGGAAATTACTAAATTCATCCTGAGTGAAATGCAAGGGGGAGTTGATAGTGATGCCTGTCCCACACATACTGCAGAGGGATTTAGGGAAGAAGGCAATAATACCAAACTTCAAATCTCCTGCCTCAAGAGCCTGTGACAACAAAACAAGGACAAACTTAGTGCTGTCCAGAAATGTGCCTACCTTAAAGAGCTCCCTCCAATCCAGGTTCCTGCAGCATTTTCAAGGCGTCTTCCCCTTGTGTGCTAACAGCCAGCCCCTCCACCTCTTGACTCCTAATGCCTCTGATGCTATTGAGCAGCAAGATACTGTACCCACATTGTGTAGCTGCTCACTACCAATGACCTGACCCCAGAATGAGACCAAGTCAGGCTTCTCCTAAAGCTCCCATCATCAGAGAGTAACTTCAAGAACCCGTTATACGTAGCTTGTAAGAACCTGTTACTCAGTAATGTTACAGAGCAGAGTCAGGACGCTGTGTCTGGCTCCCGCTCTCACAGCCATTGCATACACTGAGCTCCATAGAGACAGCGCCGGGACAAGTGAGAGCCGAATGGACACTGAGCGATTCTGTGCCTCGCTGAGGAAAAATAACTAGACATGGGCAAAGGAGACCCTAAGAAGCCGAGAGGGTTCTTTGTGAAAGCTTGCCAGGAGGAACATAAGAAGCACCCAGATGCTTCCGTCAACTTCTCAGAGTTTTCTAAAGAAGTGCTCAGAGAGGTGGAAGACCATGTCTGCTAAAGAGAAAGGAAAATTTGAAGACCTGGCGGACAGGCTTGTCATGAAAGAGACCTGAAAATCTAGATCCCTCCTAAAGGGGAAACAGAAAGGAAATTCAAGGATCCCAATGCACCCAAGAAGCCTCCTTCAGCCTTTTTCTTGTTCTGTTCTGTGTATCACTCAAAAATCCAAGGAGAACATTCTGGCCTATCCATTGATGATACTGCAAAGAAAGTGGGAGAGATGTGGGGCAACACCGCTGCAGGTGGCAAGCAGCCTTACAAAAAGAAGGCTGCCAGGCCGAGGGAACAATAGGAAAAGGGCATTGCCACATACCGCGTTTAACTCCCCTGTCCACAACTCACTCCTTTCAAAGAAAAAAAAAATTGAAATGTAAAACAAAAAAAGGAAGATGTTACTCAAGGAGCCCACAAACCCAGACTCACCTTGTGTGCAGGTTAGATCTGACTCTGATTCCAGTTGTATTCCTGACTCCTGATGTGTTTTTTCTCCTTAATTGGGTATTCATGAGGGTTTTTAAGTTGCCAAAAATATATCTGATTTCTTAGAGTTTCCAGAACCCTGAAATCCTAAAGTATGCACCAAGAAGACAAAGTAAATGGGATGTGTTATCCATGAATGTATTTTGAAGTGTATGCACACTTGGAAGTGTATGCGCATGCGCACGCGCACACACACACACACACACACAAACTGAATTGTAGGGCAGTACTTATGAGTATTCCAAACAGTATCCTATATATTTGGTATATTGTGAACATTCAGGAAACTTAAGACCACAATCCCACTCAGTCATCTCATTAATTTCTGATCTTGAATAGTCTTTGAAAGACCATAACCATGTAATGGCCAGTTATACAATCTGAAGATACCAGAACTATTTGGGTCTCAAATTCAAAGTCAATTTATTTTAAGCTTGATCATTAGAGAAAGATACTAGAATTGGGAAAAATTTCAAATGTGCAGTTTCCTTCCATGGCACTTTTGCATTTTAGCATTTTCCACTTTTTTGTGCTTGTTTCTTATCTCCCTCTCATTGGTCTATAAGCTGTGTGAGGGGAGGAAATGCAACTCTTAATTTATACCCAGAAAGTAGGTGTGGGGAGTCGACATTGTAGCACAGCAGGTTAACCCACTGCATGTGGTGCCGGCACCTGCTGTGAGCATTGGTTCAAGTCTTGGCTGCTCCAGTTCCCATCCAGCTGCCTGTTAATGCACCTGGGAAAGCAGTGGAAGATGGCCCGAGTGCTTGTGTCCCTGCCACCCCTGTGGGAGACCGAGGTAGAGTCCCAGGCTTCTGGCTTTGTCCTGGCCCATCCAGGGTTTTGCAGGCATTTGGAGAGTAAACCAGCCAATGTAAGATTCTCTCTCTCTCTAACTCCATGTTTCAAATTAAATAAATCTTTAAAAATTAATTAGGTCTAGCACATAACTGGCACTTTAAAAATGTGCCTGCAATGACTGACTGAAAGGTGTGGGGCAAAGTGAGCAGGAACAAAAGCGAGTCCACCCAGAGAGGGGAAGGGAGTGAAGGAGCCAGCTGGTAGACCAGAGAGCAGGGTAGCAGGTGTCCGGACGTTCTGTGCCAGGGACAGGTAATGCTGGGGAAGCCTTGGGCCTGAGGAGTGCTCGGAATGGGGGAGCTTTCCAGTTAAAAGGGATAAAAGCTTACTGATGTCTGTGCTCACAAAACCAGGTAGTGGGAACACAGGGAGGATGTGGCCCTCCCTCTACTCAGGTAGCTCCCTTTTCTCTGAAGCAGCATGCTAGGGAGAGGTGTGAAGGGTAGGCTCTACAGGAACCACTGACAGCCGTGAACCAGCCAACCTCATCCTACCCCCTAGCCTGAAGACTCAAATTCAAGGAAGAAAAAAGAAAAAATGTGCAACGTTAAGCCCTGAGTTGCACAAAAGAGACGGTGGAGGAGGGTCCTCGGGGA